TATCAATTGAAGTCTCAGAAGTAAAACAAGAGTATATCAACAACTAAATTATCCAATTCAAATGCTTTAATTAGCTTCTATTTCTCTTCATCCAAACAAACACATAAACCTGTCTCAGGGCATGAGTTTCTAATAAAAACACAAGGCTATATGAAATGCGGAATAAAGTACACGGATTTTGGTTACCTTTAAGACAAGCTCGTCATAGCATTGTCCTACATTCAATTGAGTCTTTGCATCGCACTGTATAAAGAGGTATCCATATTCCTCAATCCATCCCTTCCTTTTGAAAATCCGTTTTACTTTCCTGTGAAAGATCACTACTGATGATTAAATCCCATGCATAAAATAACGCTTGAGAGTTATTATCAAAAACATCAAATAGCCCCATTAGAAAGTTTCAGATGAACTCAAAATTAAATTGCTACAAATCGGAGCAAAAAGAAACTTGGATACAAACATTGGTCAAACTACAGGGAAAAATTTCACTACTTCTTGAATCAAATACATTATCAATACCACAAGTTAAACTGCATCAGAATAAATTAAAAGCCCCTAAGCACCATTAGCAAGTCCTTATATTTCAACCCAAAAAAGAAAAAAAAAAAAAGACTGAAAATGAATGGCAAAACCGAAACAATTGAAAAACGGACAAAGAAAGTTCTTAAGCTCTTACATCTTATACTGTATCAATACCACATAAAATACTGCATTAGCATAACAGCCTTTTAAGCACACTTAGCAGGTCATCTAGCAAGAGTACTCAAATGTAATCAACTAAGCAGTCACCTTTAGAGATCTGGTCAATCTTTTCATGGCCAAAGCTGATATTATAAAGAGCAAATATAGAGACTACTGAAACTAGGAATCAAATTTGAGGTAGGATAGCAAGAGCTGGAAATGAATGGCAAAACTGTACCACTTAGGGAAAACTACTTAAAAGCTCTAAAGGTTCCCTCTGCAACTGCCTCAGTACACATGCAACTGTGGCAACATGATATTTGCTAGGCAACACACAAGAAGAAATGGATGATTAATAGTTACACTATTAAATTTTTTAAGTGAGTGAATTTAAAAAGGGGTATACTTCAAATCATATTATGTTTGAGGAATACACTTACGTTAATGCATGCCTATATCAGTAAATTTACAGAGTGTTAAATGTATGAGGAAAAAGTCTTAAGTCTTAAACCACTGGTTTACATAACAGAAATCACCAATGCATAGTTCAACCTGTTTTTAGAAATCAAAACAGGACTACGTTAGAATTTATAAACAACTAAATTATCCAATAAGCTTCTATACTTCTTTTGCTTCCAAACAACACATAAACTTGTCACAAGATAGTAGTATCTAATAAACATAAGGCCATCAAATATTTAATAAAGTACCAGGATTTTAGTACCGTTTAAGACAAGCTGGTCAAAATGTATTTTTCTACATTTACGCCAGTTTTGGTACTGCACCCTATAAAAAGGAATCCATAATATATTCCCAAACAAAGTCAAATACACTGCTTTATGGACATAACCCTTTCACTTTCCTGTTAAGAGCATCAATGTGAGTGGTACCGTTAAATTCCATGTATAAAGGAACGCTCAAGAATCATTTTCCATAAAATCAAATAGGCCCATCAGAAAGTATCAAACGATTTGAGATTAAATTGCTAACTGAAGCAAAATGAAACATAGAAACAAACAACATTAGTCAAATTTGCTTCCAACAAGTATCTTGATGCAATCCTGATTAATTTGTTAAATACAGATAAATATATTTAGCCCATAAATCAGATAGATTTGTGAATGCTTCCCTTTGAATTCCATCATATACTGTATCAATACCATAGGTGAACTACACCATCACTGTAAAAATATAATGCACACATAGTGTCAAGAAGATGAATTTTGGCTTGCTTTGGAGATGTACCAGACAAAAATCAGTTAAAAGAAGATGGAACAGTAAAAATTTTCAACACCACTTAAACTCTACCAGACATGGATTCTAGAAACAAGTCATAATTATCTAGCATATAGTGCTCTCCTCTTGTACAAAAAAAAGAAAAAAAAGGTAACTTGAGAAGTCTGATTCTCATGCACTAGCAAAACAATTACGCAGCTTTACTAAAGCTGTGGAATTATCTAATCTAATAAGTAGGCAAGAGTCAAATAAATTATTGAAATAAAATACCAATAAAGATGGTCGAACTGGAGTAGCATTTCATCTTGAATGCAGAGTAATCACTTGTTATTTCAAATGACAAAATTGTGCCCAAAGATATAAATTTCATACCTTCCTATGGTCATTTAAGAAGGACAAGGGCAGTTTCTTCTCCTTCTAAGTAGCACTATAGTGAACTTGACATCCAAGCTCTTGCTGATACTAACACCTTCAAATAGTGAATATTGATTATTTCAAAGCAAACAGGTCTTTCCATGTCTCTAGTATATATAGTGCCTTCACCAATATACTTGATTAAAAAGAAATATGCTCATAATTAAGAACCTTTTTACCACCTAACAATTGATCATTTGACACATCATAGGAAAATCTGCTCTGCTGTTAAGATTAAAGTTTGCAACATGGGATTGGATGTCAATAATGATGTATTGGAACAATATATGCTTTGTGTTAAGTAGTGATCCAATAGCTCCTCATCACCAGCATGCATTTCTAGCACAGCACCAACATCAGCTTGCCCACGGCTGAATTTTAATCAACTAACATCCAAGGATGGGCATTAAGTTATTCTCGTTTGAAATAACAATGTTTAACCAATAATTTACGTTAGTTAATGAGACATATTCATACCATGCAATCAGAAAACACAATAAAATAATTTATTAAAAAAGGAAAAAAAAATAGGAGGCACTCTGACCTGAGTACTAGTATATCATGATACTGAGATGATTGGGCATTTACCAAGCAATCAATGCAGGCAATTTGGATTTTGCCGGACTACGAAAACCAATCAATCCACCGAAACTCACATAAGGGTAAAAGGATGTCTTTTGCATTGGGATGGCTCCATTCCAATGATGCCCACCATTTTTTTGGGAATACCACAATTTGTTTGAGGGAAGGAGGATAAGATAAATGGGCATTATCAAGCAAGTGAAAATTCAGTGGAATCCTCTTTAGCTTCTCACAGTTGGCAATCCTCAGACTTTGGATGGAATCACAAATCAACACATTGGAGCGAGTGTAGATGCTATTCAATGCAGGCAATTGGATCAATTCTAAGCTTTGTAACTTTTGTAGAGTGACATTTTCTTCTTCATGTGCCAATGACGATATCAGCTCCTCCATTTGCGAACACCATCCAACCCTAATAGTCTCTAGAGATTGGAAGTAGCCGAGTAGCCATCCAGATGAGAATACCTTCTTTAATTGATTACACCCATAAACCTCAATTTCTTTAAGAGAGAAAAAGATTGTGGGAGGTGCAAGCGGCGATAAACCAAGACCTTCTTCATTAAACATGGATTTCAGATTCACTAGATTGTAAAGGTGTAGATATTCAAGATTTGGAAGTGGGTTGAACCCTGACCAAAAAACACTCTCTATGTTTTTGCAACTCTCAATTTCAATGTTCTTGAGGGAATCACAAATCAAAACAGTATTAGAATTGCTGTAGATTCTCTTCAATTTAGGCAATGAGTTCAATCTCAAGCTTTCTAACTTGGGTAGAGTGACTTTTTCTCCTTCTTCAGATTCAGACTCTATTATCTCCTCTAGTTGCAAACAATAACGAACATGAATAGTTTGTAATTTCTGGAGATACCCCAACCACCTAGCCGAGAATAACTTCTTTATTTTATCACATCCAAAAAGATTAATATATAGAAGAGAGGAAAATGTGCCAACTGGTAGCAATGTTGACTTAGCAACTGCTCCTACATCCCCAAACACCACATTCAAATTATTCAAATTGTAAAGATTCAACTTCTCAAGGTTTTGAAGCTTCCCCCAGCTTCCAATCTTCTCCCATTTAAATTTTGTGCTGGTTTTTACTGTTAAATGCTGAAGTTTGAAGAGATTTTGTAGCAGTTCATCAAGTGTTTCAGATAATCTTCCACCAAGACCAAGATATTTTAGATTTGTTAACATGTTAAGGCCTTGGGGTAGTTCTTCGATTGATGTCCAAGAAATGTCCAACTTTTTTAAGCCTACAAGGCTGGATAAAGATGGTACCTCTCTTAAGGAAGCACAACAATTCAGCAGTAATGCAGTAAGCTTCTCCAATTTGGAAACAGAACTTGGCAGCCTACTTAGTTGACGATTGTAGGAAAGATCAAGAATCTTGAGCCCAAGCATATGCTCAAAAATAGCTTCTGGAATTGTTGAAATCTTATTATTGGACAACAAGAAGGTTGTGAGCATAGGACACTTCGGAGATGGCATGCTTGAAGGAATTTCTGCTATGTAATTCCTCATTAAAGAAACTTTCAAAAGATCTTCACTCCATTCATGCTCCTCTGGTAGCTTTTCCAAGGCCATGCCAGCTTTCACCAAGAATTGAGGTTTGATTTCTAATGCCATTTCTCGAAGAAGATCATGCATGCTAACACAATCTTCTTCATCTATACTTTTAATTGATTCCAACAAGCAATTGTCAACCAGAATATCAAGTATATCATGACCCTTCCAATTCATTACCTCCCTAGTTTTCCCTTCTTTATATATAAACCCCTCCTCAATCCAATACTCAATTAAGTGCTCCTTTGGGATTTCATAATCTTCAGGATACATTGCACAATATAAGAAACACTCCTGGCACTGTGGTTTTAGGCATTCATAACTAAATTTTAAACAATCAACAATTCCTTCGAATTTACTCACCAATTCAGAAAGTGCCAACTTCCATGAACTAGGATTCAATTTCCCTCTCATGGATTTTGCCACTGTCACAATAGCAAGGGGTACTCCATCACATTTCTGCAAAATTTGCTTCAAAAATGGCTCTATATCTGTTTTAATTTTGCCATTTGAAAACACATCACTCCCAACATTCTCCAAGAATAATGCTAATGCTTCATTAGCTGGAAGAGGATTCACCAAGATCACCTTACAATCCATTGCACGAGCAACATGTCGTAATCGTGTCGTCAGCACTAACTTGCAACCATTATTTCCAACTAGATCAGGAATTCCAACATCATCTAGAGAGAAAGGCTCCCACACATCATCTAGAATTAGCACGGAGCTACCTTGCCCCAACCTTTGTGTAATCAATCCTGCAAGCTTGGTTTCATTCTCATGATCCTGTAGCTCCAGTTTTAATTCCAAGCTACTTGCAATCCTTTTTTGAAACTTGAGAATATCAAACTTCTTTTTGTGCTGGACAATAATGTCAAAGTCTTTGGACACTTTTACCCAAACAACTTTGTTAAATTTGGATTCTTTCAATAGTTGGTTGTGGACTTGCTTCATAATTGTTGTCTTGCCCACACCACCCATTCCCGAAACTGCAATTCTTGTAACCTCATCTCCCTTCAACCATTCTAGAATTTGATCTTGTATATCATCCCTGCCACTACATTTTTCAACAAGGAGTGGAACTCCTTTGATTGAGTGATCATCTATGACCAAACTCACACTCGCATTAGTGAATTCTTTTCCTTCCTCAAGTCTTTGTTTCAATTCTTCTATGTTTTTCCTGAGGTTGGTTGATGAGGAAGATTCCCCTTGGCTGATCAGATCTTCAACCGTTATGGCAATCTGTTGGCCTGCCTTCTCCAGCCACTCTTCAACTTCCTTTCTTGCAATCTTTCCAGGTTGCATACACTGAGTCTTCAAATTTGCTTCAATGTGTTCCTTTTGGTGCTTCAGCCTCTCTTGCTTTTCTTTGTATACAGGTGCATAATACTCAATTGAGTGATCATCTACAACCAAACTCTCACTAGCATTAGTGTATTTTTCTCCTTGCTCAAATGTTTGCTTCAATTCTTCAGTCTTTTTCTCAAGGATGGATGATGAGGAACATTCCCCTCGACTGATCAAGTCTTGAACCTTTATGGCAATTCGTTGGCCTGCTTTCTCGATCCAGTCTTCAACTTCCTTCCTTGCAATCTTTCCAGGTTGCATACACTGGGTCTCCAATTGTGCCTTAATGTCTTTCTGTCTGAGCTTCAGCTGCTCCTGCTTTTCTTTGAATACTGTCGTGCAATACTCAATTGAGTGATCATCTATAACCAAACTCTGACCAGCATTAGTGTAATTTCCTCCTTCCATAAATATTCCATTCAGTGCTTGAATCTTTTTATGGAACTTCCTTGATGAGCAAATATTTTCGAAATAGCCTTCTTTACAGATCAGATCTTCAACATTTACGGAAGTTTCTTTACGCGCTTCCTCCAGCCAATTGTCGACTTGGCTCCTTGCTTTCTTTGCTGGCTGGTTATGTTGTGTGTTTAATTGTGCCTCAACATCTTCGAGTTGGCGCTTCAGCTCATTTTGCCCAGCTATGAATTGATCCACATAATCATTGGGACAAAATTGATACTTGACATATTTCCAAACTGTAGGGCCAACGTCCTTTACCATATCAATGGCTGATATGATGTTGTCCATTAGGGAGTCCCTGCATGTGTAAAATTGTTAGATATAGGCTAATTATGCATTAGAAACTTAAATGACCTTAGGAAATGGATCATAGCACAATTATGAGATAAGAGAAACAATTTTTGAAATTAAAACTTTTTGGGAGAAAATCAAATTGAGTTGGAAATTAATGGTGGAAGTACCATGAAGTATGAATGACTTATTAAAGTAAAGAAGCTAATAATTAACTTAACTACGCGGTTATTGGGCAGAGCAAACTTGCTTCAGAGCAAACATGCTTTCAAGGAATAAAATACTCAGATAAAAAGTGAGATTACACACCGACTATTTAGGATTTTTTTAATCTATATCCTTGAAATTACTTTTTTATTATAAATTTATAAAAAAATATATAAAAATAGATATTAATTTTAATGATATTATTACGTGAATAAATTTAATTAAATAATTAATAAATTAAATATTACTTTTTAGTTCTTATTATGGTTCTTAACCTATAAACTTAAAACACACATTAGAAAAACCTTTTAACAAAGAAATATGAATAATTGATTTTTCCTGTTATC